TATACAAATAAGAAATAATTCTTATTTCTGGAAACATTTAATATTTTTTTTAATTTTGCAATGTTCAATTATAATTGAGATTGGATTTACTTATTAGAGAAAGTCATTGGCGGATTAGGTTTTAAAGAGAAGTGGGGATATATATTTGTTAATTAATTTTGATATCTTTTACTTGAATCTTTGCTGGCTAATAAGCTGAGCAGAGGATTCAAAAATGAGTTTATAGAAAATGAGGCAAAATATGGAATGAAGCTATATCTGGTTGTATTTTAAGAGACAATGCTAAATTGATAATGTTGAATATACCGTACTTGCGGGGGAAGTTTCCTTTTGTTATGGTTAGTCTACTAAAATAAAATAAAATAATAAAAAATAAAATAAGACTGACTGACTTACTGCATAACAGGCACAAACAACGAGATCCACATTTGAAGATTTCAATTACAGTAACTATTTATTGCTCATGCCTAAGCACAGGAATTTTCTCAGACTGACCATTTGCTCATGGGTTATACTAGATAAGATTCAACTGCATTATCCTCTTGTTCCCAGTAAGGATTCCAGACTAATTCCCCATTTGATTACTCCCTCTTTCTTAGCCAATCTCTCTCCAACAGAGGAACTATATGGCAGTCTTCAGCATTTAAATATTCTCATATAGAAAACGGAATTATTATGCCAGAAGCAGCACTATTACCAATGGGTTAAAACTACACAAAGGAGGGTCAGCTATGCAACAGGAATGACTTCTTAACTGTATGTGCTATTAGCCATGTGTTAGGCCAGGGTTCCTCAACCTTGGCAACTTTCAGACTTATGGACTTTAACTCCCAGAATTCCTCAGCCAGCAAAGCTGGCTGAAAAATTCTGGGAATTGAAGTCCACAAGTCTTAAAGTTGCCAAGGTAGGAGACCTCTGTGTTAGGCGATCACATGAACTCCAGACAAAGACTGAATGTGATTAGCTTTCAGATTGGACAAGATGGCATCAAAGAGACTTTCGGACTCTTTAGTTCTGTCGTATGATTCTGATGGTGTTGGAGTTATGGAATCATTGAATAATAACTCCAACACCATCAGAATCATACGACAGAACTAAAGAGGTTACAAACGAATGGCAATTCCTCCATTTCGCCAGACTAGGACTTGCATTTCAGATTGCTTGCATCCCTGCTTACATTGTTTAGGAATCTTCTTGAAATAATGTAGAATCATATCGCATTTACAGATCTGGGGTCTTTCGGGTTTGATTTAAATCCCTCATTTTTGCAGGAAGAAATTTCAATGCCAGAACCTCTTCAGAAAGATTTTGTACCAGGGACTATTCTAAACACATATACTTTTTTTTTGTCAACCGTATCTTTCTTTATATTCCTCTATAGCAGGCATGTCAAACTCGCGATGTCACATGATGCTGCACAACGTATTGCGACTTTTTCCCCATTGCCAGCAATGGGGTGGGCACAGTTTCAGTATGATGCATCTGGCCTGTGGGCCGGCAGTTTGACATGCCTGCTCTATAGCTTGCACCTTAAATCAACCTTTCCCTATTGTCACTAGTAAAATTATTTATTCTTCTTTCGAAGCCTTTTACCCTGTTTTTCATTTGCTAAGGCTCTCAACAAGCCCCTGCAATGCTCACATGAGTGGGACTGAGTGTGTGCATACACACACTAGCTCAGGGGTAGGCAACCTCGGCTCTGAGTATGTGCATGCACACACTAGCTCAGGGGTAGGCAACCTCGGCTCAGGGGTAGGCAACCTCTGGGAGTTGAAGTCCATGAGTCATAAAAGAGCCGAGGTTGCCTACCCCTGCACTAGCTAGTCACTCAAGCGGCCCAGTTGCAAATAGGCCAATGACCAGTAGTGGGCCACGGCCCACAGGTTGGGGACTCCTGTTCTAGACAACTCCGATAAAACCATGAGAAATAGGAGGCACAAATATTTATGTCCTTGGCAGTTCTTTTCTCAACTCACCCAAAAAATGACAAAGATGACATATGAGCAAAAGGGCCCTGATGCATATCGGATTTACACAGATTCCCTAAGCATGGGTCAGTAATTCTAGAGGGAAAAGGAAGATATTTTATTCCCAAATGCTTTCTCTTGTTTCAGACGAATTCAATTTTCTAGATATTTATCCATGTTTCATTTCCTACTTTGTAATTCTGACACCTTATTAGAAAAGCAATCTGATCAAGGAGAAGAACTAAAATTGAAGGCATATTTGCATTGTCAGTTGCCTCATTAGAAATCCAGAGTACTAAACATTTTTTGAAGGCATGATAATGATTTCTTCTGCTAGCCCGTAAATACAATTTCTGCCTATGTTTTCCTGCTCTGATTTCAAAACAGCATTTTCCAGTTTGAGCTGACTCAATTACAGCTGTTTGATTTGCCTGCTGCACTTAACTTTGATCTAGTGCAGTGTTTTTCAACTTTGGCAACTTTAAGATGTGTGGATTTCGATTCCCAGAATTTTGAGAGCTGAAGTCCAAGAATGAAACATGCTGCTTTAGAGAAACTCTGCACTTTGGCTGGCTATGTGCACAGTGGCAGGAGAGCCCCCTATCCTGATAAGATGGTCACCAATATCCACTCTGTAATAACTGCTGCAGCTACGTATCTACTGCACATTAGTTATGTCACAGTAGGACTGCGGTTATAGCATTTGCCTGATATGCAGAAAGTCACTGGTTCAAAACTTAGCAATTTTTTTTTAAAAAAAACTCCTCTTAAGGTACTCATTCCCTGCTGGCTTGTATTTTTTTAAAAAAATGTCCACTAGTGCATCATTGAAACACTGAACTTCCTTCCTTCCTTCCTTCCTTCCTTCCTTCCTTCCTTCCTTCCTTCCTTCCTTCCTTCCTTCCTTCCTTCCTTCCTTTCTTCCTTCCTTCCTTCCTTCTTCTCCCAGATAGCCAAATAAGTTCCACAAAGTCATCTCAGAGAAACAATAAAATGATGTATTAGGGAAACATGTCTATTGAGTTTTTTTGTTCATTTAAGCAGTAAAATGGATAACTTAGGGAAATAAAAATAGTAACTAAAAAAAGTCTGCTGTGTTTTGGCCAATGATATTCTATATCCAGGCAAATGTTTTAATCACTATGCAACTGAGAGATATTCGCAACAATGACAGAAACAGACATTTATCATTGGTGTTTCTTCATTTTTCCAATAGTGTGCAAATGTAATAGGTCTGGTTTAAAATCTACATGTTTTTTTAACATTTAACATTTTAACATTTTCTCTAGCCTCGTATGTATTTTTGACAAAAAAAAATTGCTTTAGGACACGTCCACCAAAGATGATATACATGCCTGGTTTTTGCTTAAATTTCCAACAATTACTAGACATTTTTGCTAATCTTGCAGGTGGTAAATGCCATCTATAAAACATTTTATATAAATTTTCTTTATAAGTAGCTGCCCTTGTTATTTTATAGTTTCTTTCCCACAAGTTTTGCCATTTTTCTCATTCTACATTATGCCCAAATTTTTTTTGCTCAAGTTATCATTGTTTCTTTGACCTGTTCATCTTCCATTTTCAAGCTTAACAAAAATTTATAGAGTTTCTTAATCAGTTTTTCATCTGATGACAATAGTATCTGGTCAAACACTGTTTGATCTTTATAAAAACCAAGAAGTTTTAGAATCTTTTTCGTATCTCATTTGCATTTGCAAGTGTGGCCGCCATGATAGCTCAATGCCCTATTCTTCAAGTTCTTGTTTAATTTGTAATTTCCCTTCAGTAGTCAAAATGTCTCATATGTCACAGGTTTCTCATAGTTGATTAAATTTGGGTGCACAAACACTTCCATTGTTGAGATCCATCCTGGTATTTTCATATAAATTTTCATTTTTATCTTTTCCCATGTCAAAAGCAAGGCATTTCTTATATAGTGATTCTGAAAGTTTTTATGGATTTATTCTTTCCAATACCATAGACAAGTGTGCCATCCAAGTTGTAAGTCATGTCCTTCTAGATATAGTAATCTTTTATGTCTAAGGGTTATCCATTCTTTTAACCATTTTAATGCATCTGCTTGATAGTATAGAACCCAGTCTGATAGCCCAAATCCTCCATTTTCTTTTGCTTCTTGTAACAATTTCTATCTTATTCTGGCTTTTTCCCCTTGCCAGTTAAATCTCAAAATCAATGCATTTAACTCATAAAAAAAAATCTCTAATTTTATGCGTATTGTTTAAAATAAAAAAAGTAGTTTTGGTAAAATATTCATTTTCACCGTCGCTATTCTTCCCAACATCGATAGTTGTAAATTATTTTCCACTGATAAATAAGTCCAATAAATGAAATTAATCAAATGGGTCACAATATGGGCACATGGAGATATTCTAACGTTAGTGTTCCAGTGCCCGTCACATATGAGACCTTGGTTAAATTCAACATCAATGCCCAAGTTGGCTAAATTGTCATTTTTACTTTCTGAGATGGTCTTGAATGCTATGGGTTTCCTTCTGAACTTTGCTGCTAATGGATATTATTTGAAGTATGCCAAAACTTTTAATGTATCATATGGCTAAATAACTCTTTCAGAGCATATTTACAATTATGTGCAATTAATAATTACTTTTATCTTAAAATCCAAGTGTGAATTAGACACACCAGTTAGCTTCCCCCCCCCCCCCACTTAAGATACATAAAACTTCTCAAACTTACTTGGGATTGCTACTGATTTTTATTAAAAGACATCCCACAGTATGTTAGATGTTTCAAGGCATGCTGTGTTTCCTCTAGTAGAGGACAGGTGAAAAGAGCAAAGAGTTTCTGCTATCTTTTTGTGAGTTCCTTTGGGTACCAGAAGCAATTGCATTCTCCTGACTTCAGACTCACTTTCCTTCACACCAATTTCACACCTGGCTAGGTACTAGAAGGTGGATGATACATCTTAGCTTCCTAAGAAATTGTGCCATCTCTCAAATAATTAAGAAAAAGAAGGTATTTCAAAGGGAAAAGAAGAAATTGAAAGAGGCACACCTGATACTCCAAGAAAGTCATCAATGCTTGTAATGTCATCCACAGCTTCTGTCAGTACACGTATGTGATTCTCCCAGGTGGCTTTATACATTTCCATGTTGCTTTTTATTACCTGGCTTTTGGGCTTGGCCGCAAAAGCTACCGCAGCATTGATAACCTATGGAAAAATAAACAGACTGACATGTTGAAAAGATCCTAGAATCAAACAGAAAAGCACTTGATTGTAATCAAAGCACCGTCTATAAAAGAAGTACACTATTATGCACATTGATTAAGGAAAAATATACACATTGAAACAATTTTAA